GAAAAAAAAGGGCTTCTTACTATTGTAAAACAGAGATTTCGTATCACATTTTGTCTTTCAGACAGCAGTGAGGTTCCAGCTTCGACCTTGATGGATGTTTTGCTCATGAAAGATTTTAAACTTGTCATTAATGAAATAGCCTATGTTGTACAGTGTCCCGAGACAGGTAAGAAACAGCTTTCCAACTATGTTAACTGTCATCTTTCTCTGCAGGGGGCTTTTCTGGGGAACAAAGCAGGTCTGTTTGGGAACCGAGTTCGCAAAAGCATCTTCTTCCTCTTCCTCCTCTTCTCACTTCTTCTTCTTCTTCTCCTCCTCTTCCTCATTTTTGATCCCCGCATTTGGTACATAACCAATGCCTCATCGTGGGGAGTTGGGGTATGCGCATAACACATCAGCATTATTCTCCATTCCCCGCCCCTGGCCCCCCTTCCTCCATCTCTTAGTCACCTTCCCATTTGCTAAAGATTGGTCTCCCTATTTCCTGTTGTTGATGTTTTATTTTGCTCTTGGATTTATTTATACTTTGGGTCTTCTGATACAGCAGCTTTTCCCCTACAGGATGCATGAGGGAGTTTTCCTCTGATTTTTTTATCTGAAGATGGTAGAGTTTCCATGGGAAAAACTCACAGAAGTTCAGGCCTGGCCCCAAGCCTGGGTGTGGGGATTTAAGTCTCCAGGAATCTCAGTTCTAGTCCAGTGCTCAACTCTGGTACCCAGTCCTCACAGCCTTCTGCTTCTGCAAAGTGACTCTCCATGCCCTTCTCTTCAGTTCTGGGAACAGTGGTTTGCCCGGGGACCACAGTTCTCCCGCAGATATAAATTGTTGGTTTTCACTTTCTCCAGTCGTTTATTTACTGCTAGGATGGAGCAAGGGCTTTCGAGCTCCTTACATGCTAAATTAGAAACTAGAAATCTTAACTTTTTAAAAGAGGTTTCCTTTTGCTCTCCAGCTATAGGTTGAGCATCCCTAGTATGGAAATCTGAGCTCTAGCATGTTCTAAAAACTTCCTGAGTGCTGAAATGCCACAGTGGAAATGCCACAGGTTCTCCATGACAGGTTGCTGTCAAAATGCAGGTGGACAAAAATATCGTGTAGGAGCTGGGGTTCAGCTCAGTGTCAGAGCACTTTCCTGGCATGCATGAGGCCCAGGGTTTGATATCTCATTATGTATGTGCAAATATCCCAAAATCAAAAAAAAAAAAAGTCCTAAATTCTTGAAACACTTTTCTGCCCAAGTATTTTGGGTTGATTTGTTTGTTCGAGATTCTTTTTTTTTTTTTTTTTTTTTGAGACAGGGTCTTACCAAGTAGTCCAGGCTAGTCTTAAACTCACTATGTAGCCCAAGTTGGCCTCAAAATCATTGTGAGCCTCCTGCCTCAGGCTCCCAAGTGCTAGAATTACAGGTGTGCATCTCCGCACTTGGCTTCCTCCCAAGAGATACTCAAACTGAATCATTTTAATCATTAGTAATACACTATTGGAAAATCCTCAGTTATCATTACTTTAAGCATTGCTTTTCTTTCTCTCATCTCCAGGTCATCTTCCCATTTGGCATTTATGTTACATGTTCTTAACCATTCTCTTAGTTTTTTCCATTCTTTTTTCTCTTTTAATAATCAGCTTGGGAAGACTTTGCTGACAAGTTCTCTGACCCCTTCCTTCCCAGGGTCTAGTCCACGAATGATCCTGTCAAAGACATTTTTCAAGCTTAGCACAGTGGTGCATGCCTGTAAGACCAGCTACTTGGGAGGTTGAGGCAGGAAGATCACAAGTTCAAAGTCAGCCAGGACAATACGGTGATACTCTATCACAAAATTAAATAAAACAAAAAAGGCCAGACATGTAGCTCAGTGTTCCCTGGGTTCAATCCACTTTACTACACACAGAAAAGAGGACATTTTCATTTCTGTTACAGTGGTTTTTATTTTAGCAACTCATTTTGGTTCTTTCTTAGTTTCCACCTCTGTTTACATTACTTGTGTATTTATGCCTTCAGAAACTTTACCAATTTCAACGTAGTTGTTTTAATGTCCCAGTCTAAGATCCATGCTGTGAGCTCCTCTCTCCCAGGTCCCAACCAGATACGCATTAGGTCCACAGCAGTTGGCACACAGCCTTCACAGCTCGTCCTGAGCTTCCTCTTCCTGGCTGGAGGGTTATGGGTTGGAATTGAGCTCCAGGGCCAATGATGTCCTCACTGCTACCACTTACATAACAGACTGCTGAAAGTGACCTGTCCAGGTGCAAGGTGTAAAGGTGTAACAGGGACATGTAGGCATGATTGGCAGATGACACATACTAGATAAATTGAAATGAAACTTATGAAAGTGTAAATTTGTCCAGGCATGGTGGCTTACCCCTGTAAGTCTAGTATTGGGGAGGCTGAGGCAGGATCGCTGGGAGTTCATGACCAGCCTGAACTACATAGGGAGACCCTGTCTCAAAAAATAAATTGTACATTTGGAGTTCAAAAATTAAACTGGATTTGCTAAAACATTGCAAATTTAGATTTCAAAATGCAGGGCATGAAAATGAAATCCACATGGGAGACAGATATGAAAGGAACAAACGGCTGTAGTTTATGAAGCGTACTTTCCTCATATGTGGGCTTTACCAGGAGATGCCACAAACAACCTATCAGTTTGGCTGCTTAAGTACCTATCAATTCTGTGGCACCTATACTTCTTCTCTATGGTAGCGAGGTTTTACATTTATTAACGGCAAGAAGAGAAAGACGTGCTGCAAGGTGAGAGCGCCTGCGAGAGCTCATCTGCAAAGAGGTGAACAACCGACATCTTTTGTGTCTCTCATGCTGATGTCATATTCAAGCCATCCAATCAAAAGCCTGCTTGCTTTTGCCCTTGAAGAACTGAAGATAGCGCTTCTTCATTGGTCCTGGGTGCAGGGTCTGGACCTGTTTTCCAGTCGTTCATCCGGGATTTCTGTGATTGACAGATCAAGAGTGGTGCTGTGCTTCTCCCAGGGGCCCTGGTCATTAAGCTTAGGCAGAGAGAGAGAGAGAAAAAAAAAAACTTCCTTCTGGCCCAGACTGCAGCAGGCCCTCCTAGCTTCTGGACGAGGCCTCGATCTCGGCCTGGAGAAACCACAGGCTCTGAGTAGTGAGCTGGGGCTCAGGCATGCCCGTGCACGCCTCCCCTAGGAGCATGGAAGCTGCGCGCTGGCAGCTCAAGGCTCCCATGATGCGGGTCTGAAAGCTCCATGCTGTCGGAATTGAGTTTGCCTCTGCCAAAGCCTAGTGGTTGGCGCCCTGGCCCCTGAGCCCAGCCTGGAACAAGGCACAGCTCTGAGGCTCACGCTGCCTGCTGCCCTTGACTGTGCGCCTCCCCACACCCTCTGTGGGGGGGGCAGTGTCCCAGCCAGTGGGGCCCTGCCCTGACCTGCCCCCTTAGCTTCTTACCGCGAAGATTGTAGAAGCACGTTTCTCTGAGTATGCGGTGAGCCAGTGCCAGGGCCCACGCACACTCACCTTGCTTTCATGTTAGCAACTGCCTGAACCAGTGCTCTTCCCCGTCCTGATTCCTTCTCCCTTCCTTTAAAACATCTGCTCACTTCCCATAAATCAAAACTGAGCTTGATTCATTTCACACCGCACCTTCTATATTGCAAGTTATTCATAAAACCTGTCGTGCCACCATGGTGGTGCACACCTATAATTGCTGAGCTTGGAGGCTGAGGCAGGAGGATCCAAGATCAAGGCTGGCCTGGGCTACAAAGGGAGTTGAAGGCCAGCCTGAACTGCATGTCTTGTCACAAAAAGACTAAATAAATAAATAAAACCCGTCCTGGGCTGGGGACATAGCTCAATGGTAGCGTGCTTACCTAGCATGCTCAAGACTTTGGGCTCTCTGCACAGTACCATGAAAAAGGAAGGAAAGAAGGAAAGAAAAAAAAAATTCCCTACCACGTTATTGTCCTCACTGTTTCTCTTTGCTATTCTCTGCTGCTTTGGACAAAGCCGTGCCCATCTGTACCTTTCCTCCATAAGCAGGCAGACCTTTTAAACACCCACACTTCTTCCTCCCGTGTGGGTCTGGGGATTGAACCCTCGTTTTTCTTGGTCACAAAGGATTCTGACCAGGGACCATGGCAGCCTTGGCTCCTCCCCTCTAGGTGTGGCCAGAGCTGAAGACCACAGCAAAGTCTTGAAGAACTGAGGGCAGTAGAGCGAGGTGGAGACCAGGATACCTGGTATGGGTGGAGCCCACGGGCTGATGCTGGTTCCAGGAGGCTCACCCCGCTGAGTGAGGGTGCTCTACCTGCCGGGGTCCACCTGGGTTCTCCTTACAGAGCCCGTAAACCGGTTGGGTCCTCAGGAAAGGGTCTTTACAGACGCACTGTGTGAGACTGACAGCCCGCAAAGGAGGAAGGGGAGCGGAGTTTCACCTCTATTCCACGCACCTGGCAGGGCCCTCCTAGCAGAAGATGATTGGCAGAAACAAACGGGAGTTTATTGATGAGAACATCTGTACTTACTGGGAGATGGTTAGGGCAGGAGCGGTGCTCAGAGAGGCTGCTCAGAACTCCTCTGCAGAGCGTCCTCAACCAGAGCACACGTTTTCAAAGAAGTGAGGAGATACTCTGGTTTCTCTTCAGACTGTGTAAATCTTTTGCCTTTTACAAAGAGGTGACAAGACAGAATAAAAGGAGTCACTAGGGGAAGCAAACTGGGAAGGCAGATCAGAGCTGGGAAGAGCTGTGGCGTAGACTTGTCTGGGGACATCTCTAGGCTGGCAGGGGCCCAAACTATCCCTGGGGACCACCCTCAGCTCGCATCTGTAGCGAGGGGTGAGGGGAGACCGGGCAAATGCGTGTCCTGCCTTCAGGTGACAGAGGGAACCAGAGAGGTCTTTGTCTGCCTTTTCGCTGTCTTCAGCTCAGAGCAATCATGCCACAGTGGCAGGTTCTGGGGTGGTAGGTTCCGGCCTCCCAGGTCCCCTTTCCCAAATGTATATATGCATTACCTTCTGACCTGTGCTTTATTTACGTGACTCCCTTGTTGAAAGCAGCTTTTTGAATGGTTTTACCTTCTTTACCTGGCTGTGCACCCACTTCCTTCCCTGTGCCTCCTGGAGTAGCTGTGGGGGAGAGGGCTGCAGACAGGGTGAGCGCTCTGAGGTGCACTCGGGTGTAAGAGTGGCCCTCAGACTCACCTGTGACAAGGTAAGGTGCGGTGGTCACCCAAAGCCTGTTTAGTGGATGTTCCCCTGACTTCCTATACATCTTTTTGTTTTGGTTTTTTGGAGACAGGGTCTCACCATGCAGCCCAAGCTAGCCTTGACCTCACAGAGATCCTCCTGCCTCAGCCTCCCAAATCTTGCTGAGATTACAAGCGTGAGCAGCTACCACCACCACCACTACCACCACGTGTGCGTGGAGGAAAGACTGTGACTCCTTGCATTTCCCTTGTCTTTTCTCAGAGAAGCCCAGCAGGGAGCGCACCACAGAGATGGAACGGGTGCGCTCCTTGGTTCACAGGCTGTTTGCGGTCCTACACCTGCAGGAATCAAAGAAGGAGACTGAGCACCGCTTGCTGGTGAGGATTGACCACCTACAGGCACAGCTGCAGCCCCTGGAGCAGGTAAGCTCTTCTCGCCGACCCCACAGGTCACACCCAGGTGCACCCTGTGTGTCTAGGTGGCATCCTGAGCCCTTGCCCTGGGCTCATTCTCTCCAGAACCACTCTCATTGCCAGAGGAGCAAGCTGGCAGCAGAGGCGGGGCTGTGCCGAGGATCTGAGCTGGGACCTGGCCTACCCTGGCCACTGCTTCTGCCTGGTTCTACAAACAGAAATCTGAGCTCATCAGCGCTGGAGACAAAATAACTGACATTTTTGGGGTTGAGGGAAAATTCCCCACAACAACGCTGGATCTGAAAAGGCAGGCCTGGACATTTAGTTAGCCTCCAGAGAATGACTTCTTCCTTGTGTGCCGTTCTGTGCTAGATTTTTTTTTTTCCTTGAGCAGTATAACCTTTATAATTTAAAAAATATTTATTATGACCTGATCTGGAAATGAGTCTCATGTATGTTCCATAAATTATTTTCCATATACCTGACCTCTTTAAAGTAATGCAGATGTGTACTACTTCAGAGCTTTCTTTTCTTGCTTCTTGTTTTCCCTTTAAGTTGCTGCACTTAGAAACTTTTTCAGTTTCGTTTTGAAACAGGTTCTGTCTGTGTAGCCCAGGCTGACCATCTTACAGCGAGCAACCCTCCTGCTTCAGCCTCCTGAGGGTTGGGATGACAGACTGAACTGACTAAGAGGTTCTCTCTCCCTAGGTGAAAGCTAGAATTGAGGCTCGGGCTGAAGCCAGCACCAGCAGGCTCCTGTGGGCTGGGCTGGCCCTGCTGTCCGCACAGGGGGGCGTGCTGGGCTGGCTCACCTGGTGGGTGTACTCCTGGGACCTCATGGAGCCTGTCACCTGCTTCCTCACCTTCACAAACTCCATGGTCTTCTTCGCATACTTCATAGTCACACAGCAGGTTAGTCATTGCTCAGGCCCAACCTCTTTGCTAGGAATTCCTTACCCAGGTCGGGAACTTTTTACTGGCGGAGTCACTGCTGATTGGACTTTCCCAAACGTGTCTTTATATGTTCTTTCTCCCAAGACTGGAGGGAGACAGCTCAGAGCACCTGCAGCCAGCCTTCATGGGGAGTAACTCGGAGAACGTGCCAGTTCTTCCACGGAGATAAAATATGTCAAACTTACGTCCCCTCTGCCGCCACTTATAAATACAATTAAGTTCCTGCAGCAGAACCCTGCACCTTCATAGCCCCAGCTTCTAGTCACTTAGCAAAACCTCCCAGCCCGTTGTTCTCCCTGTTCCCCACTGTGTGTCGTGTTGTTCTTTCCCCAGCTCTGAGCACTGCGCGCCGAGGCCGTGTGGGCACACGTGTGCCCGCAAGGCCACCGCAGAGATTTACCCACTCGCTGCCCACCCGTCTGGTGTGCTGCCAGGCAGCTTCCCCGCAGGGGCAGTTCTTCTTCCAAACTCACTGATTTCTTCTGTCTTTAGAACTGTACCTACCCCACTGCTAGGAGTAGGCAGTTTCTTCATTTCTTCCACAAGAAGTCTCGGCAACAGCGCTTTGACGTGGAGCAGTACAACAAGTTAAAGGAGGAGCTGGGCAAGGTACCCTGGGTTTGAGCTGCGGCTGGTTTGGTTTGGGAGAGAAGCTGGCGTCAGGGAATGGCACTGCAGGGTTATCCTCACAGGCTGCAGCTTAGCTGTGCAGATTGCTGTGTATTGTGAGATTAGTCAACAAAATACTTGACATTTAGGATACTAATTTCATATCCCAGTTTGATGCTTGTTTTTTATTTTCTGTAAAGGGAAAGTTTTTTGGGTTTTTTTTTTTTTTTTTTTGGTACTGGAGATTGAAACCAGGGCCTTCACATTGAGCTACATCCCCAGCCCTTTTAAAATTTATTTAAATACAGAGTCTAAATTGCTCAGGTCAGCCTCCCAGATTGCTGGGATTACAGGGGTGCAACAACACACAAAGCTGAGAATGTCTTTTTCGAATGACTTTTAGAGGGAGAGAAAAAAGTGCTTTCAGCAAGAATCTGCTTGTAAACAAGCAGGGCGAACACTGATTGGGAGTTTTAAACTTTATGGCATTTGTTTCTTTGCCTTGGAGGTACAAGATCCTTGATGGTATCCTCCTCTCCCGTCCTCCCCTCCCTCCCTCCAGATGCAGGGGAAACGGGCTCTCAGAGACACCTTGTTCATGTGTAAATGAACCTCATTCAGATAGTGCTTTCTCAGCACAGAACAGGATTCCTTTCTCTTAGTAATTTCTTCAGCAAAAAGTTCTGGTAAATATATCCTGCATTACTCAATGCATGTGCATTTAACAGTAACTATGTCTAAACTACTAGCTATGAAGTTGAAGAAATTATTAAAAATAAGTAGCCGGGTGTGGTGGTGCACGCCTGTAATCCCAGCACTTGGAGGCTGAGGCAGGAGGATCGTTGTGAGTTTGAGACCAGCCTGGGCTGCAAAGTGAGCTCAAGGCCAGCCTGAACTGCACAGCGAGACCCTGTCTCAAAAAAAAAAAAACAAAAAAACAAACAACAACAAAATAAGTTTATAAGTCCCAAGTTGAAGAACTGTTAAAATCATTTATTTCATCTAAGTAGAAAAAATATAATCCTTTGTGTTTTTTAAATTTGTGGATTCTCTTACATCTGAATGATACAAGGCTAAGAAAAGCTTTTCCAGCTCTTTCCCAGAGCATTGAGATTCCAGGGAGTGTCCTGTGGAGTTAGGTTATTTCTAAGGTAATGGAAGTGGAGGCAGAGAGCAAACTGGTAGGTCCTGGAGGTTTGTTTTTTTTTTTTAAAGAATATGAACTAGAAAATCCATTATGAAGGGGAGAAACTAATTCTTGTTGAAACATAAGGATGAACTACAAACCATTTTCATCTTTTAAAACGGGATCCAGATAAAGTGGAACTAATTTAAGCATTTGCCCCTAGGCATTTAAATGTTCTGTTGCCCTAATCTTATGAGTTCTCCTCAAAGCACTAAGGAAGGTTTCTGTTTTTGCTCTGCTTCCCAACAGGCTGAAGAGGCCCTGAAGCGCGTACGCCGCTCCCTCTCCCTGGGGCTGCGAGTGGAGGACCTCAGTGAGGAGCATTAGCTTCACACTTGCGGGCCTCGTCGGGTTTCTCCATGTTCTGATTTCGTCCTGTGCACACTGGACGTTACTGAGCCTCGTGGTTCATTTCAGTCTCTTTCAGCCTTTTGTAGTTGTGAGAAACCACAGTCCTGTCTTTTCTATCGAAGAATACAAGCAGGAGCGCCTCCGGCTCAGACTGGTCCACCCTAACACACTGAAACTGTGGGAAAGGCCTGCTCAGTTTAAATTCTGCGAACGTAGCCACAGATCCAGATAGCTTAGCAATAGCAGGACCTTCTGTTCCCCTACCCTTGCCCTCCTGCTCTTCCTGCCCCTCAGCAGGCCTTCGGCTCTCCCCTGGCACCAAACTCGCCATCCTCCATGGACTGTAGCCTTTGAACTCAGCCAGTGAATTTGAAGGACAGCTGCTTCCCCTTCGTGAGGGCTTAAAAGTCCAGGCTTGGCGTGACTGCTGCCTCCTGTCCTAGCGCACTTGCGCCCTTCTGCAGAAGTGAATTTTAACTCGGCCTTGTCACGTTCTCTGGGTCACTGTCTGACTGCATCCTTTCCAGCACTGACAGTTTGAGTGTGGGGGCTCACTTCCAGCAGTAGTTAATAAATTGGCATAAAACAGACATTCTTTGGCATTCTCTCTCGGGATTCTTGGGGTGCAGGTTTGATGGCTTGTTCCTATAGATGTGGCTGGGGGCCTTACCCTGGCCCACCCACCCCGGGCACCACCCACCTGACCTTTGGGCTTCCTGTGGACTCATGGCTGGCATTCACTTCTTTCTTCATGGGCAGTAGTTGGAAGGAAATGTTTCTTCATGTACCCAGAAGATGTCCCCAGTCACACATGAAGTGTACTCTGAACCTCTTGTACTCTGAACCTCTTGTACTCTGAACCTCTCCTTCCAGTTCTCCAAACATAAGCATTTCACCATCTTCACCCCAGCTGGTAGCAGCAAACTATCAGATTGATACATTGTATCAGAAGCATGGAGCCTCAACAGTCACACGCATTGGTGTGTGAATGAGATGGGTGCCTGGTAGACCGTAACAGGGAAGACGCTGAGGGATTAGATTTTGCAGGTGTCCACCCTGCGAAGGGACGGAATTATTGCAGGCTGTAGCGCATCCTCAAAACGCCAGAACAGTCTGGTAAGTACTAAAGTCGTGTATAAAGTGTGGAGATGCAGATTCAGATTCAGAAGAGGCAGTAAACATACATATGACCAAGGAAAAGAAGCCCAGAAGCCAATATGAACTAGAAAAGTTTAATATGGCATGATCTTCAAATAGCTTACTAAAGGGAATTTACGATCTCATTCTTGGATTCCAAAAGTCTTTAAAAACATTATAAAAGAAGCTTTTATAAAAAGGCACAGTACAAGCTCAATCAGCTAGATATTTCGGGCACATAAAAAAAAATCACTCAATGCTTGTAGATTTTTATGTAATTTCCTGAGTGTTTTTCAAGCCTTTTTAACATGAAAATATAAAAACAAACAAACAAATGAGAAAAGTGTTTCTCTACTGGGGAAGAAACTTCCACAGCTGGACCTCACACCTGAAGCTGAACCTGGAGCTGTGCATCTGATATGAAAAGGGCCAGGTGTGGGCTGCAGAGGCCGAGCCGTCCCTACTTTCTGGGCTTTGGCGAGAAGCGCAGCTTTTTGGTCAGCATGGAGGCAAAGCATGGCACCTGCTTATTGCCGATGGCACTGCGGTCTTTGCAGAACTCCACAGAGCGCTGGGAAACCTTCCTGTTCACCAGCGTGAGCAGCTCCGTGAACTCCAGCGTGGATCCATATTGCCCCAACATTTCACACAAATCCTGGATGTACCACGAGCCATACACCGTTTCTCGGTGAGAATAATATCCTAAAGAAAAGGGAAAGGAAAAGGGCATTGTAGTTTCCTTGCTTTCATACTTTTCCTTTTCTCAGACAAGGTCTTTTGCTATATAGCTCAGGCTGCCCTTGAACTCCCCGTGTAGCCCAGGCTGGCCTCGAGCTCGTGGTACTCCTCCTGCCTCAGCTTCCCAAGAGTGCTGGGATTACAGGTGTGTGACGGAATGACTTTTCTAAGGTCATCTACACTTTCAACTCTCACTCTGTGCCCTATGATTAAGGAAATCGCTGGTATAGTCTGTGACTTTTGTTGACACATGCTGGTTCAACCCAGAAAGACTTGTCCCAACTCAATCAAAGGTGCAAAACGAGTTAGCAATCCCAGCACTCTGTGAATCAGGAGAATCGAAAGTCTGCACCAGCCCAGTCAATGTAGCAACTTTAGTGAGCCCAAGTCTCCAAAAAAAGAGAAGGTGAACTTCACAGGAACTCAGGTGAGATGGCCCCCTGTCTGCACGAAGCACGGACTCACCTTCTGCCACTGAGTAGCACATGAGGAAGTCTGCGCCCGCGGGGAGGGTGTGCACCGTGGCCGCGTCCACCTCGGTGATGTTCTCCGGGGTGTCCGGGGGACGATGGTCCACCACATCCAGAGGGAGGACAGGCACGTCGTGCTGCTGTCCCCGACACGCCTACAGAGCCAGAGGGACAAGCGCTGTGCTACTGCTTCCCAAAATTCCCACATTATTTGGGAAGCACATTACATGTAGTTCAAGAAACAGTGCATTCAGGCTTGCAGGGGACGACAGCTGTCAAAGCTTTTCCCCTTGTATTTCCCCTTCCTTAATGCTAAAAAAATGATATCCACAAATGCACACCAGAGTGTATGGAATGAGAGAACCTAGGGGAAGGAAGACCTATTACAATTTTAAAATGGCTGATGCAGGGCCGGAGAGATAGCTCAGTGGCACAGCGTCTGCCTGGCAAGTGCAAGGTCCTGAGTTCATATTCCTGGTACAAAAAAAAAAAAAAAAAGTGCAAGGTCCTGAGTTCAATTCCCAGTACAAAAAAAAAAAAAAAGAATAAAATCTCTGATGCATGACAGACATTTTTTCTTTCAAGGCAGGGTCTCCCTGTGGAGCGTAGGCTGGCCTTGATCTTGCTGCTATCCTCCTGCCTCAGCCTCTCGAGTGCTGGGATTACAGGCCTACGCCACCACACCTGGTTTAATCTTAGTATTTTCAGATCTTATTTTGCACTCTCTTCCGTAAGTATAACACAGAACCTGTAACTTAAAGAGGTCTCCTTCCCAGCCTGCTGCAGTACTGAGGTGGGCTCTGGAGAGAACGCACCGCACACACCGGGTACCAGCCTGTGCTGCTTCCTTCGTTCTGCAAGGCCGTTTTAGCCTCACAACCGCTCCGGTGGCAAGGGCTACTCCTACTCCTGGCCCACAGCTAAAGAATCTGAGTCCATGCCACTCACAGAGGCCAGAGTCCTTAGTCCCAGCCACTTAGGAGGCTGAGGCAAGAGAGTAGTTTGAGCCTGGGGAATTCGAGACCAGCTAAGAGAAAGGTTAAACCAGCCAAGCACCTCTTCCCTTGCGGCGTCTTCTCAAGAGGCACTCATGACCATTCCCACTTCTCTAGGGTCGGGCAGTGTTGGCTGCCGCTGCCGCCAACCCCATGAAGCCACCTCTTTCTTTTTTCAATACTGGGGATTGAACCCAGGGCCTTTGCACTGAGTGACAGCCCAACCCTTTCTTTCTTTTCTTTTTTTAAATTTTGAGACAAGATCTCACTAAGTTGCCCATGCTGGCCTCAAAATCGTGATCCTCCTGCCTCAGCCTCCCAGAGTGCTGATCCACCCCATTTCTGTCTCGGCTATTCTGCTCTGGGCCCCTCTCCTCCAGTTCTTCGTCTCTACCCCCTGGTGTTCCTTGGGGTCTGCACTCATTTCTCAGGCCATTTCTACGTGCTTAAGTTCACCTCCTCCCGTGACCTCCACCTCCAGCCACGTCTCGACTTCTGCCCGTGTTGGTCAAGCCTGCCCACCTGATGTCCAGACCTGGAGCCTGGGCCTCCACACCCCTGGCCTCCCGTGCACCATCCAGCCTGACCCCAGCTGTCCCCTCCGCTGTCCTCCGGTCGAGGCCTGCCCTGATGTGGAGCGGCGTGTGACACCAGGAGACTCAGGCCACAGGCCGCAGGGCACACACAGAGCAGCAACACTGGGACTTCCGGTTTCTCTCTCTCATTTTGTTCTAAACCCTTATCTAGGTGCCCAGTGCTGTTATCCAGATGAAAGCACAGGCTATCCCTAAGCCAGTTTGGAGAGCACTGGGAAAAAACTTGCTTTGAGGGAAGAATGTGGCAGCTGGGGTTGTCCCACTGACGCCCCTCTCTCGAGCTCCCACTGAACCGAACTGGGTCGACTGGGCCACCTTGCTGGGCCTCTTCAGCCAGCCCAGCCCCGTCTCCACCGCCATGCCAAGGGCCAGCTGGGCCAGCTGGGAGCTCCTCAGGTCACGGTGTCTTTCCAAGGCCAAGCCCGGCGCAGGCTTCCTGCAATAAGGTGACTGTGGTGTTCCGAGAGAAGTGCCACGCACAGCTAAAGTGCAGCTCTGCTTGCGTGCTGTTTACACACCATGGAGCACTGCTCTGCTACAGAGAAACTCGACTCATTGGTGGAAAAATGGATGCACCCGGAAACCATAAGGTTAACTGAAATTAATCAGACACACAGGCTGGAATATCACGCGGTCTCCCTTGTGTGAGAAACCTCAAGTGCGCGGAAAGAGCACAGTGAAAGGCAGAGAACAGGAAGTAGGGACACAGATCTGTCTCAGATGGGACGGGGGCCGAGGGGAGCTGAGATGTGCTGTGCACATGTGCCACCTCCACACCAGGGATGAATCATCACGCAGTGCAAACGCGGACTAATAACAAAAATGGGGAAAAGCAAAACTGGCTTTTCAACCTTTCTGATCACACGCACTGCACCCTGGCCCTTGTGCGTACAAGGACGCTTTAGCGGCCTCACCTGGATAATAAATATCTTGGGCTTCCCGACCAGGCTCTGGCACTTGTCCCCTCTGAACTGGGCAGTCAAGGTTTGGATTTGAATCTTGGCGTCATACGCATAGATATGGTCGTCTTCGCCGTGGGTTAGGAAGGCACACACAAAGCAGTCAGCGTCCACGTGGCTTGTGGTTGACACTTTGAAAACGCCCAAAAGTGGATACAGAAAAAAAGATGCTGGTTATCTACACAGACAAATTCAGTTTGGGGCTGCCAGAAGAAAGTCTCTCAGATGACTGCATGGCGAAGTTGTTATTCTTCAACAAATGCAAAGTGTCTTATTTTAGGCTTTAATCAAATAGAATAACTTATACCAAACTCCCTGATTTTTAAAAATCTGAAATATTAAAGTTCAAAGTTGCCCAGCAAGGTAGCACACAGCTGTAATGCCAGCACTTGGGAGGCTGAGGCAGGAGGATCATTGCAAGTTTGAAGCCAGCCAGTGCTACATATGAGTTCAAGGCCAGCCTGGACTATACAGCAAGAGTGTCTCAATCCCTATCCCCCGCAAAAGTTCAGAGGAATAGACTCTGACCTAATTTTATCAGCTTCTTTTTCTCCCAATAGTGGGGATTAAAGCCAGGGCCTCGAGCAAGCCAGGCAGTTGTCCTCCCCCGAGCGATGTCCCCAGCCCTTTCGTTAACTTTTAGCATAATGATGTGGAAAACGTGAATGAGATGATGCTGGAGAGCCTCCTTTAAGATCCAAGCTTCTCTGGCAATAGACTAAGTTTCTTTGAATTGCAGAGACTTCCTGGAGCAGACAGAAAGGACCCAGAGATGGCCCCCCCTCACCCGAGCAGGCCCAAGTGCTTCGTGCGTCTAGAGTCAGGCCCTGCACAGGTCACAAGCAAAGCAGAAGCCTAGTACGCAACTGGGTAAGTGACCTGCAGCTGAATCAAAAGAAGCTTACAATAATGATGCAAAGGTCACAGCAGCCCAGCAGTGGCGTGCAAGGCTGGCCTGTGGCGATGGTGATAGCTTACGCCGTCACTAGAGTACCTAGTGCCAGGGGTGATGCAAAAATGAAAAGATCTGATATCTGCAAATCGTGACTTTGAAGTCAGTGAAGAAATGTGATATGAAAGGTGTCGGTGGAAAAATGAGCTTAGCAAAGCCCGTCAGGGACAGGGCTCACATTGGCAGCTCTTACGATGAAGTGTGGAGCCTGTGTCTCCTCATGCTGGGCTGGAATGTGATACATTTGCACAGTACAGACTTTAAGGCACAATGCTTTGCCCAGCTGTCCAGCTCTGGTGGGCAAGAGGCAGAGGGGCCCGGCCCAAACCTACAACCCTGGCCACACTGCTGACTCGTTTTCCCGAGCCGAGATTCTGCATCCCTGTCTGACAGAGCCTACACCTCGAGCCCATGGGAAGAAAAGGAGGAACGGCAAGTCCACCTACCCTCGTGAATTTTCTGCAGCAGCTCTTCCACTTTAAGATTATTAAAGCATTTCACTTCAAATCCTAGCTCTGAAAACCTGGGGATACAGTAAATTGAGTATTAACTGACGGGCTGTTCTACGGTCACATATCCTTACTTTTGAGGATCTGTACCAATTTTTATGACCCATAAATCTACTTTTCTTTAGGAGAAAAGAAGAAAATGTGACAAAAATTGATCACCCACATTAAGAAAGGATTTAGCCACGGTGAAGGCTGATTCAGTTCGGAAATCGCCATCGGCTATGTAAGTGCATTAGTGACCTGCGAAGCTGTTAATGCAGAATAGAACAGGACAGGGAGGCCGCTAAGTTCTGCGGGAGCATTTGGGGTTTGCTCTGTGCCACTGAGAACTGAAGGAGCTGCCTTGTACAAGCTGAGCACACGCGTCCCGGCGGGGCCCTGGGCTGCTATGCATGTCTGTCACCATGACGCAGACCAGCACTACCTGCGAGCCAGGTTGTCCCTGTCCACGTTGGTGCCCCGCCTTTCGGGCAGCATCAGGTGCCAGAAGAAGTGCTCCTGGTTGAAGATCAGCGCGACCCCTCTCTTCTTGTGGTCCATTTTGTACTCTTCCACCGGATCGACCATTTTCCTGTCTGTGGAAAGTTTACAGAGCATCACTTCGGCTTCGGGGCGGATTAAATAACAGACCCCTCCAGGCCGCTGGGCTAAGGGGACACATGGATGTCTGCTGCCGGTGGTGCCAGGCTTTGATTCCCCCCGGGTGCCAGGACAGGCCATGCTGGCACGAGTCACCCACAAGCGGACATCAGTCAGTCATCCTGGGCAGCTGTTCCCAGCCACTCCCCACAGATACGTTTCTCCTGGTCCCCAGCACCAAGTCAGCAAGCTCCAACACAATACCTAGGCTATATCCATTTGATTTTGTATGTGTAGGACTAAGGATCGATCCTGGGACCTTCACACTGAGCTTCATACCTAGCCCTTTTTATTTATTTATTTTTTATTTTGAGACAGGGTTTCCTTAAGTTGCCCAGACTGGGCTTGAACTTGTGATCCTCCTGCCTCAGCCTCCCTTAGTGCTGGGATGACAGGTGTGTGTCACCATGGCCAGGCCCATGACAGTCTCCAAGTTGCAGTGTCAATCAAGAAACAGTCTCTGGACATCACTGCAGGTCCTCTGACTCACACTGCTACCCACAAGTCTGCTCCTCCAGGGGTCAGACCTGACGTCAGTGCTTCCCTCGCTCCGGTGTCTCCGTCTCACTGTCCTTGCTAGGGATGGCCACAGCCCACAGAGGGAGAGACGTGTATGAGCAATGAGCACGCTCACCTGGTCAGGAAGGTATCTGTTTCTGCTATGTTTTGTTCCTCACCTGTTTAAAAAAAAAAACCAGTTGATTTTGTGAACTATTTTACTTTTTGACCCATGGCAGCAGAAGGCAGCAGGAGCTCCCAGGCCCATCACTAAGACCCCTGGAAATGCAGGGAAAGCAATGCACTACAACAGCTCGGCACTTTCTGCAAGACAACAAATCATAACAGAAATGGAGAAAATACACAAACACACCCACTGCAAAGGAGGCCTTAAGTAGCACAGCACTGTGACCGTGCAGCGCATGTAAAACATGCACTCGCTTTGGGATGTGGAAGGTGGCCTGGCGGAGCCTTTCTGGGGTGCAGGAAGCAGGTCAAGAGGAGAACAGAAACCACAGAGATGCTGGGGAGGACAGGCTGGGTCCAGGAGCGGGAATGCAGGGCAGAGGGGCATTGTAGAGGACAAACAGGCCACAGCAGGCAGAAGGGAGCAAAGCAACAAGGGACGCCCCCAGCTCTTTCTGCTGTCTTACCCAGGCTGCTTAGGGCAGGTAGCACTCACACCCTTAATCCTAGCACCCTTGAATCAACTCCAGGGTCAAATACTCTAGATTGAGCCCTCCCTGAAAAAGCCCCCATGACTGCATGAGGCTTTGGGGGGACATCTAGACACAAACCATAACAACCTGTAATTTCTTTATCAAACATGTATCTTTCATTAAACCAGATTCTTTTTTTTCTCCTTGGTACTGGGGATTGAACCCTAGGCCTTCACACTGAGCTACATCCCTACCTTTTACTATTGTTGATTTTTAGACAGGATCTTGGTAAATGACCCAGATGGGGCTCAAAGTTGAGATCCTCCTGTCTCAGCCTCCCAGCTGGGCACCACCACTCGCAGCTTCAACATAACTTTTCAACTCTTGCTTCACTCTTCCACTGTACTATAACTACCATTCCCTCCTTCCTTACATCAGTACGATTCTTACAGAAGCAATCATTCCTTTTCTCTCCTCACCCTAATTTCCTAATCGCTCCAGATAACCATTGGCTGATGGCGTGGCTCTCTGGATAGCTTATCCGAATGCCACACCTTGGGGACAGGGATAAAGCGGGCAAGGTCTGCCCGAGGTCAGGCCCTTGGAGTGGGGCTGAAAGTCAGATTGCCTGGGGGTTCGAGTCCCTGCAAGCTGGGTCCACCAGGCCCCTGGAGAGAGTCTGTCAGCTTCCCTACTGGCCAGTGTCCTGTCCTCTGTGAACCACTCCCCAGACACCCCAGCTGTCCCCTGCGCTGTGATCTTGTCCTGGGTAACCCACCCCAGACCCTGAGCACTCTGGGAAGGGCGCGGGGTGGAGAAGGCAAAAGGAGCAGGCGAGGGAGGGGCTCGGCCAGTACAGTGGGGGGAGAGGTCCGAGGACTTGGGGCCGGGCATCCCAGACCCCCGGAAGTCAGCGTTTCAACCTTTAAAAACACTGTAGCCAGGCTTTAGGACCTCCCCGTTGAGCTGCATCTCCAGTCCCCGCACCCCCTTTGAAGCAGGGTCTCATATAGTGGCTCAAGTGCCCAGACTAAGCTCAAACTTTCGATCCTCCTGCCTCTGCCTCCCTGAGTGCTGAGATTTAGCGATCCGCCACCAACACCTGGTTCAGTTTCTAAGCAATGTCATTACTAGGGGACGGGAAAAACGTCCTGAAGTCCGCAGAGTGCAGCCGCTGCAGCCTTAGGTGATGCGAGGTGCGGACGGCTCTAGGGTCTGCAGCGGTGCAGCCCAGGCCCGGCCTCCGTGGCACCGAGCAACCGGCTCGGAGCTCCCGCGAGGACGCGCTGCGGCGGGCGCTCTACACTCTTCCCGAGGAGCAGGTAGCACTGCCCACCAGGGCCCCCAGCGCTTCCCGCGCGGAGCTCCAGGCTGCCCGCAGCCCGAGTGCTTCCAACCTCGGCGATCGCCTACCTGTAGTGCTCCGGGGATCCTCCTAGCCCCGCTCCGCACCCGCGCTAGGCAGCCTGTGCGCTTCCTAAATTTAGGGCCCCTGGCCAAGCCACGCCCCTGACCCACCCGCCCTTGTCCAGGGCCCTGGAGACCGCCCCTGCCCCTGACCACGCCCCGCCGCGTCCGGCCACGCCTCGGATCTGCCCGCCCTTGGCCACGTCTCGCAGCCCGGTCCAGCCCTTAGCCCCTCTCGGCCACGCCCCCTGGCCCCGAGCCCTCAGCCCCGGGCCTGACCACGCCCCCTGGAGACCGCCCTCCATGACCCCGCCTTCCAATGGTGTCCCTGGAATCCAGGATCCGGAACCCGAGCTGTCCAGGAAGAGGCGCGATCTCGCTGCTTGCCCAGGGAGGCGATCTGGCCCGAGGCCCTGCCAGCTGCTGCCGGGGTCAGCGGGGTGAACCCACAACCTGGTCCCAGCGCCGATTGCTGAAGTGCTTTGTGTGTGCACGCGAGATTGGGCTAAAATAAAGGCATAAACTGGAAGTGTGGCTTTCATAGAGAGCACGGATTTAGGGAAGAAATTCTGCAGAAATTTGAAGAACGGTGTGGGTCTGGAGAGGGTGTCTTTTTTAGAAGTAGGGGTCCTTACCCAACAAATGCCTCACGCAGCGACCTCACCGGCGCCCCGTGTTGAATTTAGCTGCACAATGTGAAAAATTTACTCCAGCGAACAATTCTTTCAGATAAAAAGGTGGCTCTTTTTTGTACCTTTTGTGGACTTTGTCATTTACAAAGTAACCAACTTCAGATGGGGGCTGTACGAAGGCATCACTTCTACAGGAAATATAAGGGATTCTTACGGATGCGGGATCCGTTTCATAAATAGTATAGTTATTTGGGAGAGAAAAACAAAATTTAACTTGACAACGTGTGTGCTTCCTGCTTGTGTTTCAAAAGTCTTAGTGCATGAAACCAAAGGAGAAGGGTTTTTATTCAAATTAAGCCACTTACTGTTCATTCCATTGAGCACTTAGTTCAGAGGTCACCAAGCCACGCTGGTGGACCGTGGTGAGGACAAGCCTGGGGTGCCTGCAGGTCGATGGACCCCCAACTTCTCTAGCTCTTCTCCTGTCCCTTCTAGACTGATGCAAGTCTGTGGTCACAGCTGTCAGCCTCCCTCGGTCATTCCTCGTCCTGATGTGAAAGAAACATCAAGCCTGTGTCCAGATGGTCTTCCAGCACACGGACCCACACCTTACCGCTCTCGCTGGTTTAATGAGTGAATCTTTTTCCTTTCCTTGTCCTCTGTTCATTGGGACCTTTGCAAGTGGTAAATTTCGCGTGGGTTTGTGCTAATAACTTATGCTGCAGTTAAAACACAGTCCTCAGGTCAGCGCTGGCCAGCTGGAAAGTGCATGAATCTTTTTATTGCTAACGTCTTACTACTCTCATGAAATGCAGGCAGGAGTGGCTTTATTTATTTATTTATTTTTTGTTTCCTCATTACCTAGCCCAACTAAAAAGCCTGTAGGTGATGCTCAATAAATAATTAGAATGTGTTCCAGGGCCTCAGTGTTTGCTCCCTGGACCTTACTGTGAGTATGAGTTATCTGGTTACCAGAACTTCCTGTCCTTTTGCCCTATTTCCCTGGTCTCTGCTCCAGTCCTGGAAACACTGTGCAGGAACAGAGCCAAGCTGGCTGAACTTCTGCCTATCTCAAAGGAGCAGATGACAAGAATTTGTCACTTTTTTCTAAATATCTTGTCTCAAAATAATGTATTACTTTTATGGTCTATGTGGTTTTGTACTTGAAAGTTTTTTTGTTTTTTTTTCTGTCTCAAGACCTAAATTTGTTCAGTACTTGTGTTAGCTTTTCATTGCTGCAATACTGTGATAAATTAACTTAAAAGAGGAAAGGTTTATTTTGGCACACGGTTTTGGAGATTTTAGTCCATGGCCAGTTGGCCCACTGCTTTGGAGCTATGGCAAGGCAGCACATACGGGTGGAAGTGTGTGGCAGCGGAAATGTTCCCCTTGTGTGTCCAGGAAGGAGCGAGAGGAGGGCAGGGGACTCAATGTCCACTTCAAGAGAACTGACCTAATTCTGGGGACGTTCAAGAGCCAAGGCTGTAGCACGACCTATTTCCGAATGACCAGTGTATGACATCAGACCTTTACAGAAAAGCTAGCTATGGTAAATGGCTTTACTGCCTGGGTTCTAATCTGCCTGGGTTCTAATCCTACCACATCACTTTATTGCCCATGAGACATTTTAACCACTCACAACCTCTCAGAACCTCAAGTTCCAGGTTTAGAACCTAGATCTGGTTCTAGAACGAGAAACAGGTCTAGAATTTAAAGGAGTCAACCTCAAGTTCTAGGTTTAGAACCTAGATCTAGTTCTAGAACAAGAACCTGTTCTAGTTTCTGAAGCAGTCAGTGCCCAACTCTTAGAACAGCACTTCTAGGAAGCTTTTAGTACACTGATTCATTTTACCTCCTAAAGATTACTTAGATCCTTTCTCGAACTATAGTCTCTGAAGCAGCAGTATCAGTATCACCTAGGAACTTATTAGAAATGCACATTCTTGGGTCTACCCACACCTATAGAATGGGAAACTGAGCATCAACAATTACTATTATTATTAGTGTACTGGGCATGAACCTAGGGCCTTCACACTATAGTATTAGCCCTAGCCCTTTTTTAAAATTTTGAGACAAGTTCTTGCTAAGTCACTCCGATGCCCAGGCCAGGCTCCAACTTGGGGTCCTCCCAGAGTGCTGGGATTACAGGCATATATGGCTATGCGCCACTAGCAAAGTATTTTAACAAGCCCTTCAGTGGTTCTGATGGACTCTTGACTGACAGCCACCGAGGCTGGACTGTTACAGAGCTCGCACTTCTGTCTCAAAGAAAAAACAATAACAAAAAAGCAAAGCAAATCAATTTTACTAAAACAACACAGATACACTAAAGACCAGAAGTAACTGATAGGCTGGCTCAGCTCTCCTAAATCTGACAGTCACTTGCAGAATGATTGAAACTGAAGCTCTCAGTCCATCTCCTCTCTTAGGAGTGGAATACATGGAAAAAAGGAAGGTTAGGCATAATTCTCAAATTCACATTTTGATCTGTTTCCAGTGTTCACTCCACTTTCTAATGCTTTGTTCTTACAGAAATCATAAAAATATTAAATTTCTATTATTCTGATTCCTACATTTAAGAAAACACAAGAACCAACAAAGAAAAATTTGTATAGTTGTCAGCAGGATTTTGAAGGATGTTACAGGTCTCAAATGAGTAAAAAGTGTAGCATGACTGTGGCTGATACACAAAGATCAACTACTGATCCAGCTCCAGGTGTCTTTTACAGCTGTGCTTTTGTTTTGTAGTACTGGGGATCAAACCCAGAGTCTTGACACTGAGCTATGTCCTTGGCCCTTTTATTTTGAGGGAGGGACTAACTAAGTCACTGAATTGCCCAGGCTGGGCTTGAACTTTCCATCTTCCTGCAGCAGCCTCCCAGAGGGCTGGCATGACACCATGTTATAATATAATTATAACAAATTATAATTTGTTAATATTAATAACTACCTTATGTACTACAGTGACACCTTGGTAAGTGAACATTCCACTAGTTAAAAAAAATCTGCTGTGTTCGGAACTTTGGTCAATAGTTGAACCAAAATCTGACCTGCAAAAACCTACACAGGCCAAGTGAGTTGCATGCCGGTCTTGCCGCAGACACCAAGGGTAACACTTCAGCCTAGGAGCAGCTCTCGCCCAGACAACACAGCGCCTGTCTTAATGCTTTCAAACACTCATCATTGTGTTTCTGTTTGCACTTTATTTGCATAAAATATCACAACCATGGCTCCAAAGATAGTGCTACCAGCAGTAAGCTAAGAGGAAAACGGTGAGAATCACAAGAGTTCAAGTAAGAAATCACTGCAAAATTTGTTGAAGTCCTGGAGAAATAGATTTTTAAGTGAATATGCACACATATTTAGTTCACTATATGCACACACACAGATGTGCACATGTGCAGGGTGAATATGCACACACATTTTTAATGCACTATACACACACACATTCACAGATGTGCACGTAGGCAGGGGTAATATGCACACACATTCCCAGTTCTATCCACGGGAGGCGGAGCAGTGAGGTTGGCAGCAAAGGCACATGGTTCCCTGGCTTGGTTTCTAAGCACCATTCTGCACCAACAGGACCCAGGGTCCCTTAGAGAAGGGCTTGTTCCAGGGGAGGGCACGGAATATGCAAGGTGTGCTGGGAGCACCTTGCGGTGTCGGAAAGTGAGCGGGTGCTCAGTCATCAGAAGTATGACTGTGTGTGGCAGCACATAACCTGCGATCCCAGACATATGGGAGGCTGAGGCAGGAGGATCACAAGTTTGAGCCCAGGGTGGGCAACTCAGTGACTCAGCAACACCCAGCTGTTGATAAAATTAGATAAAATTTTAAAAAGGGCTGGAGATGTAGCTTGGTGCGAAGGCTCTGGGCTCAGTCTTTAGCACCATCCACCCCACCCGCAAAAAGCCAAAGGAAGGGATCGTCTGCAGGATGTAGCAGCCTACTCACAACTCAGGAGCCAAGGTGGAGCAAGTTGAGCAACAAAGCAGTAAATAAACACGAACGTCCATAGTAATGTCAATCAGTGAGACAGGGGAGACAAACCTTTCTTGCAGGAGAACTCCACATACCATGGACTGAGGCGTGCTCTCTTCCAGCAGGCAGGGGGGGTCTTGTTCCCCACACCTTCCATTGGGCAGATAGTTGAGTGGCCAGGCAACAGAACAATAGGGGGAAGCCACTCGTGGAGATAAACACCCTACCTGGCATGCAAGTTGGCACCCAGCAAGCCGATGGCCGGTGAGTACAGGGCCAGTCTTCTGCAGGCTTCTTTCCACGACCCACAACCCCAGTCTAACCATGAGACAGTCCCAACCAGGGACATTCTGCAAAGTGCCTGACCTGGGCCCCAGGAAACTGTCACGGTTATGGGGACAGGCACCACTGGGGAGCCAGGCAAGACCGGAAGCTCATCAGGTAACAGTGTCAAAGCCACGTGGTTTCCTCAATTTTCTAGGAAAGGAAAATGACACGAATGGAAACGGACTGCAATCGTGGAATGGGGTGGAGTGCAGGGATAGCGATTATTGTTGCCTTCTTAGCTCTCCACGACCGTGACCATTTGGTGGCTCCCTGAAATGTTACCACGGGAACTGGATGTGGGGCTACAGGGACTCTCTGTTACCTGTGTAACTTAATGACTCCAACATTTTAAATTTAAACATACAAAAACTGTTTCTATTATTTTTATCCAATTTATGACCATGCATTAAATATTTTATGTATATTTTCAGTTTATCCCTTCTGAGGCAAGGTGTATATATCCTAGGGGTGGCCTGGAACTCCCCATGTGTCTTAGATTGGCTTCAGACATATGACCCTCCTGCCTCAGCCTCAGCCTCATGAGTGCTGAGATGATGGGCATATGTCACCATGCCTGCAATTTGTCCCCTTAAGAAAACCAAAACAGCTCGGAAAAGCCACTAATTCATTGTTGGTTTAAGTTATCTACTCAAGTACTTCAAAATAATAAATACTGATAAAGATAAAATATATTGATAATGGTTTGCAAAACTGTAACTTTCATAAAACTCTGACCTAAAGTATCTGTTAAGGACTCTAAACTGGGCCTGTGGCAAAGGCCGGTAACACAGCTGTGGGAAGCTGAGGTGGGAGGATTGCATTTGAGCCCAACTTGGGCAATTAGGGACTTTGTGAGACCCTGTCTCAAAAAAACAAAATACAGGCTGGGATGTAGCCCAGCACAGAGGCCCTGGGTTCAATCCCCACCCAGTATTGCAAAAAGAAAGAAAAACAAGGAAGGAGGAAGGAAAGGGGTCCAAAAACTTAAATCAGGGCCCAGGCTGCTCACTCAGGTACAAGTGAGCAACAGAAGACAGGGCTCTTAACAGAATGGCTGTCACCATCCCAGGCTGGGGCTACCAGGTTCCCAGTTCATGGAGAACACTCCAAAGCATCCCTGAGCAGGACTTAAGTTAACCAACTGACTTTCCATGTTTATTTGAGGCATCTGTCCAAGGCCTAGGCTCCTTGTCTCAAGATCGGCAGTGAACTCATAGTAAGTGAACCTGTGAGTGACTAATCCCTACTAAGGCCTCTAATGGTGGAAGTCTAACCCCTACTAAGGAAGACTAATCCCTACTAAGGCCTCTAATGGTGAAGTGGAAAGTCTCAAAGGATAAGACAAGATCACAGCCAAGGACACCTGGATCCCCTCAACTAAATGAAGACTGAAGCCTCAGGCATCTCACTCCTGGGTGGATCAACTTACTACCTTACTTGGAGAAGTCCTTGAGTGCTTGTGCCCTTCTTGGATACTCCTCTCCCTTCTTCCGATAACCAAATAAACAGGGGCCACCCAGAGAAGGTCTTGGTCTTAGCCCTAAGAGAATCTCAAATTCTGAGAGAGGGCTTTGATCCTCCTGGAGCCCTGAAATCATTTCATTTGCCTCTTTTTATTTAGCCTACACTCACTCAGAAGGCGGATCTGATCACTCCGCAATAACTAAGGGATATTATTAACCCCACACCCAGCAGTGACATGGACTCAGGAAGGAAGTCCTTTTCTCCAGAAACCCAAGATTAACCCTGCTGGCCCCACCTGCAACAGCCCACAGGAACCAGCCATCAGGGCCGTCCAGGGTGCTCTGCTTCCAACCTCCTCGGATAAGTTGCCCGGCCACAGGCTGCCTGTGACCTGGCCCAGGGCCGGGGCACAGCATCCGGCACTAAGCAGGGCACAGCTGCATATCACAAGGGCTGGAAAAGCTCGTTCAGAAGCAGCCATGGTTTTCTGGAATTTCGTCTGAACATCAGTTACTACTTTTCCATGTAATAGGAGACCCATGAAAGACAGTTCTTTGTATTTCATCCATTCCAACCATTTTGTCTCTACAAGGAAAACTACAGGACAATACCAAGAATAATTTCTATTAAAGCCACATCTAGTAAAATGTTACAGTCTTTGAAAAGTATTCTAGAACTATGAGGAGCAAGTGCTAGGGATAAACAGGGAAGCATGGCTGCTCACAGTGCTCTGATGCATACGGGAGCACTTTCTGCCATCTCGTCGACCTTCTCCCCAGGTCAGGCACAGGCTGTGGCTCCAGTGACACCTGCTCTAGGAGTGGCTCACACAACAGGCATGGCTGTGCCCCTGAATCCTGCCCCTGTCCCTACCTAGGCTGCTGCTGGACACTTAGGCATCCTGGGTCTGCGTCCTAAGAGAGGCCACAGCCAGTGGCTCTGACGTCACAAGAAACAGACATGGGCACCCTGCCCTCATAACTAGCACAACTTATTCATGCACTTAGGGGGCTATAAAGAAACAATACACCATGCATGACTAACATACAGAAAAAAATGAAGTCCACTCCTTCCAGGCACAGATGTTTATTGAAAATTTTATAGTAAGCAAATAGTACTTGTAAGTGAAGATTTCCCTTTATTTCCAAAGATAATGTTGAATAGACCTTATAGTGAATGAAATATTCGATTATATTTTTAAAAATATATATACTCTTCTGACAGTTATACACTCTTCTTTTCAAAATGTCTTCCCTAGCACATTCCTGTTTTTGACACTGGTCAAGATAATTTGGCCACTGAGGCAGCAACGTCCAGAAAGACACCTAAAAAGGCAGGCACACCCTCTCCACCTCCCCAACTTTTTTTTTTTTTTTTTGAGACAGGGTCTTGCTATGTAGCCCAGGCTGGTCTTGAACTCCTGATGATCCTCCTGCCTCAGCCCCCCGAGTGTTGGGATTACAGGCATGTGCCACCATACCCAGCTGTTTTCTTTATGTGTGTGTTTTTATTTACAGGTTTTAACATCAAAATACAGTCTTGTTAGGTCTTAAAATGAACCCTTCACCAAAAACCAGGCAGCTTTATGCTGTGACAACATCAGTTCTCCGGCAAAAGTGAAATCCTCCGTCCTCGCCAGTCCCCAGCTGTCGGTTCTTCTTAGAGATCGGTCTTCTCCTCATAGTGACACCAACAGGCGGCTCGCTGGCTGTCCAGGTATGGTTTGCAGCCCAGATGGATGACACTATCGAACAGGAGCTCCACCACTGACTCACAGGCTGCAGAGAGAAGGCAATGACAGTGGGCAGCTGCACAGCCCGATGCTGTCCACCTGTGTCCCCAGCCATGTCCCAGCCCGAGCCTCCCCAGCCAGCACCAATCTCACGCTGCATGTGCCTGCGGACTCGGCTTTCATCTCCCTTCCGTGTCCTATTTTTGTCTGCCTTCAAATGTTTTGTACTAGACAAGTAATGGTGTCTATCAAAACATGATCAGTGTAGCCTGTCCCCCACCCCCGCCCTGCCCAAAGCGTGCAAAGTGTGCTGGACTCCAGCTTCGCTCAGGGCCGAGATTTCTCCCGTGATGTTTGTCATTAGGACTTCAGATCCAGATCTATGGTATGAGACTATCTAGAGAATTCTAACATGCTGAGCTTCTCTAAAATGGGTTACGGCAATGTCCTCACCTCCAGGCTGATGGAACCAGTGGTGAGGCCGGAGGGAGGTGCCTGGAGCCCCATCACCAAGCGTCCCTCCCATCCTGAGATGGCATGGCGGAAGGAGCGTGCTCTGAGACAGCAAGTGGCCCATACAGGACAGTGAGTGTGCGGTGTCTTGGGCCTCCCAGCCTCCAGAACAGAGCGAAGGAGGAGTCTGTGTCTCTAAGCCCCTGGTCTACTGAGGTTTGCTGAGGTTTGTTACAGTACTCACTCAGGATCTCAGTCTTTAGGTTCTCAGTGACTAGAGACCTATTCTCGGGCCTAGGCAGCCTCCTCTCTGGTTTCCTAACATGGTCTGCTTCCATGACTATGTCATTTCAGATTACAAAGAAAACCCACGAGTTCCTCAGCTCAGCACAGCAAAGGGGCTGTGAGATCAGCAGAGTTCTGTTAGTAACTGCTACAGCAAAACTGAGGCTCCAGCTGCTCCACCCCAGCCCGCTGGGTGGTGCTCACCCTGCACGTTCTGAGCCAGGCCCAGCGTCTTCTGCACACCCCGGCAGATCTTGGACAGGCAGAAGTGGAACTCCTCGTCACAGTCGTTCTTGCTCTCACCACAGGTCTCGTAGCACCGATCGTGCTGGTTGCAGCACTTGGTCAGAGAAGGGATGCCGACGTTCAGCTGCAAGAGCATTGGGGTGGGCTGTGGTCAACAGGATCAAAGGGCCTCCGCTGAGGCACTGCGTTCAAACAGCCTTACCAGAAATAAATGACAGTGCTGCATGGGTAACTCCAAAGGCCTCTTCTGTCTATAAATGTCCCCGTTATAGGTCTCCCTATCACTCTTTTTTTGAGACAGGGTCTTACTATGGAGTTCAGGCTGTCCTGAACTCATCAGGTAGCCCAGGCTGGCCTTGAACTCAAGGCAATCCTTCTGCCTCAGCCTTCCAAGTGTTGGGATTACCAAGCCTGGCTAAATCTCCCCAGCACACTGACCATGCTCACCCATGACCGTGTCTCAGTCCTGCTCACTGTTCCCTATTCTGCAGCGCTAGATTCTCGGTTATCTGCCAGTAACAAATGCACTCCCAATAGTCCAAACACAGAACATACTGTAGTTTCCAAAACACAAGATAAGGCTAAAGTCATCTAAAGATTTTTCCAGAGGCTAGGCAAGTATGATTTTTGGATATTTCAAAATATGCTGTACCCTTCCCCCAAATAATATGTACTTTATATGAAATGCCACAGAAAAACGGTAAGCATCCACAACTCAAACACTGTTCTTTATTTTTAGGCCTTAAGTATTTATTCATCCCCTAAAGATACCATTATCTGAATCTGTAACTTATCTTTAACTCACAAAGCCCCTGTGTACAGGTGTACAGGTGTACAAGAATCACGCTCATATTCTCCTCACAGTTACCAGCTCAGGTCCAGCTTCCCAACAACCACACAATGCCACCCCATTTTGCCTTTCCTTAACACAGAAATTATGCTTTATCTCTGCTTTTCTCCAGTAGGTAGTATTACTTCTGTACTTGAAACTTACATTGTGCTGTTGACATAATGAAATATAATTTAAATGGTGTTAATATGAACAGCATTCAAATATAAACATTAATTTTATCCCATTTAGTTTTGCTAACAGTTATTAAATGCTTTGCCAAAAAGGAAAGCGGCAAACCCAACCACTATAACAACAGACAACACTGCGAAGCTGAGCACACCTTCAGTCCTGCATTATCCAAAGCATCAGGCCTGCCAGCGGGAAGAGGGATCAGATAAAACCCAATACTTACGTGAACACCGAACAGTGGAGAGCCACACCCATTCGGCGGGGAGGGTTTATACCCATAGCGTGGAAAAGGCTTCGATCCTATAAAATGTAAATGGTGTCAGAATTAATTTTCAAATACAACAGAAATAAAATACTCAGATCTAAATGTGTTACACAAGGCTTGGACATTTTTTTGTTTTTGCAGTTCCAATGATTGAACCCAGGGCTTCCTACGTGGTGAGGTAAGCATTGTACCATGGAGCTATAGCCCCCACCTGTTTTTATTTTATTTTTCATTTTTATTAGTACACATGTAGTACTGGTGATGGTATTCCTCGTGCAGATGGTGCATGTACATAATGCATCTTAATTCTTTTCACGTCTTCCCACCTCTATCTCTTGGTCCCCTTCCCATTTGCAAAAGATCCATTTTTCTGTATCCTTTTATCTATCTTTTATTTTGCCCTTTAATTTATTTACACTTTGGGGCTCTCACACAAGAGAAACCATGCAATATTTCAGCTTGCTGTCTGTTTTATTTCACTTTACATTATACTCTCAAGGTGCATCCATTTTCCTACAGCTGACTCAAATCTGTGCTTTTAGCAGAGCAGTGCTCAACTGTGTGCAAAGACCACATTTTCTTTATCAGTTCATCTGCTGATGGACACACAGGCCACTTCCAAAATTCAGCTATTATAAGTGGTGCTGCTGTAAGCCTGCATCTCACTAAGTTGCCCTGACTGTCCTGAATTTGCAATCCTCCTGCCTCAGCCTCCTAAGTAACAGTGATTATAGACATGCACTACCATGTTCAGCGTGTGATTGTCTTTATTTTGAGAGCACTAGGAATCTAATTTATCTAATTACTGCCTAATTTGTCTAATTATTTCTCCTGTGGCAGAAAATATGCAATACATGCTAATGTGCACATATATACACACACAGCAGTTCATACAATGTAATCATTATGCATAATGCTATTCTGTCCAAACATACAGAAGCTCATCCTGCACTTGCAGTGATTCCAAAGTTACACACCAGGTACAGCTAATAAGGAAATCAGCTGCACCTGGGGAACTCTTACTCAATAACGCTCTGCTCCCCAATGGCACCCATGGTTCAGTAGCAAGAAGAAAAATGATGTCATCGTTGCAATCTTCGATTCTAGAGGGAACTTCAAAAATATCAAACCCAGGTAATGCAGAATCACTTCAACACCCCAGGCACCTCTGTGCTCTGCCTGTGCCCCACAACCCTCCTGCATCCAGAAGTAGCCTACTCCACAGTGGGATGCTACCAACTGTAAAGAGGCTCTCTCTTCTGCTGCTAAGCAACACTCCGTCCCTTAGGGCAACACTAAATGGGCCAACTCTTTGCTTTACCTGGTAAGCCTTTCAGAAACAACTGGGGCTACCATCCATCTTTATCCTAAGAATGAAATGTTCCACTTATTTCAGATATAACCATAATATAGTTTCCAAATAACAGCCCACATGGGACAGGTAAGAGAGACACAAAGTATTCCACCAATTATCATCCAACTAATAGTGCTACAAGACTGAAATTAACATAGGTTACCCTCCAAAAGTAAAGAGAGAAAAAAGCAATTCAGAATACTTAGCCATCAAAATAAGTCAAAGCAATGATGGAAAAATGATTTCAGCTAGGGGCTGAGAAGTTCCCTGCTCAGCTGAGCCGATGGAGGCGCCTCCAAATCGGACCTCGTGGCAGCACAGCTGGGGCTGCTCCACCATCCTGAAGGAACGGGTAGGATACGTTAAGAGGAGGAAGCTGGTGGCAGAGGGGGCCTGGCTTCTCCAGCACCGCCCAAGAAGGGTTACTTCTGGGCCTTTCAGGATAAATGAATGCTTTGGGCTACCATAGACACTGATCCCTCAAGGGTGTTTAAGAAATTTTTATGTTTATTAGTCCATGTTTGCAAGACAATGATCACACTCTTTGAGGGGAGTCGGTAACACACCTTAATCCTTTTTATGTCCCCTTCCATCTACTGCTTTTTATTTTTTTGGTACTGGTAATTGAACTCAGGACCTCGCGCCTGCCTGGCAGATGCTGTGCTGCTGAGCCACATGCCCAGCTCTCCATCTACGGCCCTTAGTCTGGCGTTCCTATGCAACAGGGCATGGTTCAGCTTCCCACTTGCACAGCCTACAAAGGGAAACATGCCATGTTCCTGGAGGGCCCTAGGCGTCCCTCTCCACTCCACCTCAGACCTGCTCTTCTCAGTTACAGGCAACTCCCTCCTTCCTGGCGTTCAGAGTAAACATCCCCGCCCTTCTCGACTACTCTCACACTCTCCATTCAGCCCAAGGGCACTTCCTGGTGGCTCCACCCTCATGACACACTGCTCCTGACTCCTCCTCAACACCCCACTCTTAACTGATCTCCCCAGTTTGGCTCTTCCAGCCATACCACTCCCAGCCATGGTCCCATCTCGACACTGAACCTCAGTGCGCGCTCCCAATTACACACGGGATCCAGGCTTTCTTCTATTCCAAATCCTGCTGCTGAGTCCCCATCTTATTCAGAGCAAAAGCCAAAGTCTGCCAAGCCTTTAAGGCCTATGGAATCTGGCCTTCCTGTGCCTTCTTGGACCACTTCTTTTTAGCACAGCCTCTTTCAATCCATCACATCGGCCCCCTTTGCTGGTTCCCAGACATTCCAGGTCTCCTCTTGCCTCAGACTAGCTGTCCCTGTAGACACTCTTCCCCCCTGACGCCTACGTCACTGCTCCTCCGTCCTCTACCAGAGAGCTGGAAGGACGTGGTCTCTGGCAGGTCCATCGATGAGGTGAAACCTAATCACCAGAGCCCTGCTACCAGGAGGTACAGCTGCTGAAGGGTGAGCCAGTCACCAGGGGGACCCTCATGACGAATGAGGGCTCTTAACTGGAAGTCAGAAAGCCATCTGGCCTCTCCCACTGCAAGGCCAAGGCAAGACAACTCCATCAACGAATCGGGATGTGGGCCCTCATGGGACACCCAATCAGCCAGCACCCGGGTCTGTACTTTCCAGGATCTGGAACCCTGAGGGAGAAATTTCTTTTGCTTATAAGACACCAGTTGGCCAGGGATATAGCTCAGCAGCACAGCACCTGCCTGGCAAGTACAAGGTTGAGTTCAATTCGCAGTACCAAAAAAAAAGACACCAGTGTATAGCATTTTGTGACAGCAGCCCGAACAGAACAACATATTCACATTTTCACAGGACCTTTCCTCACTGTACTATTTGTAACATGTATGACTTTCAACGTATGTTAACATATGCAGACATTTCCTCATTTCATAAAAAGATAATACTTTTGAATAGAAGAATGATGAGAAGCAAATGAAGTTAGGAAAAACAAGTGACAAATGTGCCTACTCCAGAAGAATGCAGAGAAAGAGAGACAATGCAAGGGATCTGCGGAGGAGGCTGCCATCCCAACCAGGGGAGTGCTCACAAATGTGCTACAGAGAGAAGCTGAGAAGACCGAGTAACAAAGCCCTAACCCCTTCTGTATGTGGAACACTGGACAGTAACACCACGAAATAAACGCTGGTAAAGCTGGTCCCTCAGCACGGCTGGAAAAGGGACACTGTATTTGCTCTTTTGGGAAGACAACCTGTTAAATGTCACTGACTCAGAAAACCTTCCCAGCTCACCTCATCTGCAACAGGACGCCTCCTTCCACATTCATTACGCAACAGGGTTACTTTTGATTTTTTTTCCCCTAGCATATATGACCAAACAGCACAACGGTGTGTTTGTGTGCCAACAGGAATGCTGTTTTGCTCAAAATATGCCTGGCACACACCAAGCTTACTGTATTAAAACATGAGAAACAGTCTGTGATGAAATTATTCCTTACCCACAGCAAATCACAAAATTGGAAGTAAATATCTTCCTGAAACTTTTTTTTTTTCAGTATAAAGTTTGAACCCCAGGCCTTTCCAGTAAGCTACATCCCAGATTATGTAAATAGAATTTGTCAAAAAAATGTACACACTTCAGGAAAAAAAAAAAAAAAGGCTGTTTTTTCAACACATGGTACTACTCTCATGTCGGGGAGGGAGAGGATGTCCTGTATCACAGAACATGCACTACACCGCAGGCCCTTAGAGAAGAAATTGAAAATGCATGTGCAGCAATCTCAGTGACCAAGGTTGCCCACACAGAAGCTCACTGTACTAATAAATGTCTGAAGCTAATGGTCACCACTTTGAGCACCTCTTATAATTGTAGAGGCCAAAGATAACTTGTATTAACTTCATTATGTCTCAATAAATTTAGTACTAAAATATTTACACAAGTTTTTCTTTTCCTGAAGTATGTATACATCTTTTTGCATCCCCCCATATATATAAAATTTTTCCCCCTCTTTTTGAGACAGGATTTGTTTGTTTATTTGTTTGTTTCCAGTACTGGGAATCGAACTCACGACCTTGCGCTTGCCAGGCAGGCACTGTACCGCTGAGCTAAATCCCCAGCCCGGTTGAGACAGGTTTTGCTAAGCTACCCAGCTTGGACTTGAACTTGCCTGACTCCATCTCCCATACTACAGGAATTATACTGCGCTCAGCTTCCTGAAACACTGTAAAGTGTCTGGATGCTCTAAAGTCACCTTTACATTAAAATAATTATTTCTAACAAGTTATATAGAAACTGGTTTATTAAATTGGTTCAAATACCAAAATTATAAATGATAAGCTGCTGAACATTTAAAAGCCCAACATTTATGTAGTGCTAGCTTTTTACAAAGCAAAACTCAATAATGAAAAAAAAAATTAGAGTCAAACCAAAGCACGGTGATGTACTGAGGCTACTGTTCTTTAGGCCCTATAAGCAGGTACAGTATAAAAGCTAAGAAAAACAAGATCTGGGGAAGAATTCACAACAACCACAGCAAATCCCCTGGTCCACCTGTATGGAAAGCTACTCACTAATCTCACTTTATGAGTAAACAGCACTTCCTTTTCCCCCATGTTTTATGTTTTGTCATCTGCATGGATAGTGGAAATTTAAACATTTGGGTGGATTGAGACATCAGTTCTTTTCTACATATAATTTTTCTAAATTTGATGTAAATACTCCCAAACAGAACTTTTATCACCTGAAAGAATACGAAGCAGATGAGATGCCTAAGAGGAAGGTGGGCAGCCGGGGGCACAAAGATGTCAGCCTAAGGACAGCACAGCGGAGGCTCCCCACCTGCATCCCAGACACAGGTGATTGTAGTTCATCTGCATGGGACTCTTACTGGTGTTTTTCCTGATCACATCTCTGACTCTCTCGGCTGATGACACTGGCTCTTACCTCACTGGGAACTGAGGCAGCCAGGAGACCCTGGGCATCTCCCCCGTGACCCCTGTGCCCAATCCTGACTTCCTTCCTGGGACCAGGGATGTCCCAGCTGCACCCGGCCAATCTCTGTGCACAACCCCACGCTTCTAATTTTCCAGGGATGTGACTGGCTCTGCAACCCTCCCTCTCCTTTAACAGTGTTTCCACTCTACTCCGTCACTCTCAAAAGTATACAAGTACCCTACTTTCCTAATGTCCCCAAACTGCCCTTTCCATTGCATTCCCCATTTCAGTTCATGGCAACTCCATCTTTTAGTAGATTTAGCCAAGAACTCTGGCACTATTTTTTATTCATACCTTACTTTCAAGCCATGGGAAAATTCTTTAGGGTCTTCCTTCAAAATATATCCCACAGCTAAAAGCTTCTCATCACTTCTGCTAGCAACCTGACAGAACTATCACCACCTTCTGTAGTGACTCTCACGTGACCATCCTGTCTCCACTCTGGTTCTCCACGTCCCATGGCTTTTAACTGTCAGTACAAAGCCAGAGGGAGCCTCTTAAAGTATCCATCACTGCAGTAATGATGACTTACTCATAATCTAAAAACATTTCACATTTTTCAAAGGAAGCTTCTTTAAATCTTCTCTGATGTCAGGGAGAAAAAATTTGTTCCCCTAAATAACCTTACTGCACTGTCAATACAGCCCTCTTCTCACCACCAGAGGAGGGCTGAGTAAGGAGCCAGGCTCTATGTGCCATGCCTGAGGTCAAGCAAGGACAGCTGAACACAAGCTTGTGCCTTTGACTCCAACCATCTCCCCGCCATTAACTCTGTTTTCTTTTGTAATTAAGCTCCCTTGATCTCTTTATTGCAACTAAAAAATATCCCTTAATCACTGTGCTCTTCTAGCTTTGGGATCTGTTTCTGTGTGGTTCTGATTTGATGATCACTTGCATGCCAAAGCATGAAAAGAACGAGTCACTGGTCCAGGAGAGTTCTTAGGTAAAGAAAGTAAAAGGATACCTCTCATCCAGTTGGAATTATCAGCATGGTGAATCCACACCACATGGTCACTGAGAAGAGAGCACTTACCAACACACAAAAGGACCTGCACTGAAGCACACCATTTCAGTTCTCAAACTCACTTGTGATTTTTATGCTACCGACCCGACTCTAACTGGCAAATTTTGTGAGGCTCATGGAAGATGCCAAACATATTAAATAAAAGGAAAGATGAAAATAGTCTTTCAATGAGGGAAGTATCCATTCAACTGAAGAAGTATTTTATATGTAAATAAACTCTACAACCAAGGGGCTCATAGTTAAGTTTTTAACAATGACTTCTTCCAAATCTTCTATAAAAGGGCAACTGCACCTCCTCTGTCTCAACCCAGAAACTGAGTCATCCTCATGACTGGCCCCTGACTGGGGTCCTCTGCCCCGACTGCTCTCTCTCCAGCTTACCAAAACCTCACTTTTACCATTTTCAGATTTCAGCTCAAATACTCTATCAGCCAGGCCATCCCTGAACCACTCTCAACACTACACTGCAGTTTTGTGACTGATGTTCTCCAAGCCAGGGCAACTACAGTCGCTCTGCAGCGCTGGGTCTGCCGGTTTACTTGCTTCTTAGTGCTCGGCCCATCTCTCCCGCTGACCATACGCTCCGTGCACAGGGAGTCTGTTGTTCAGAGTTACACCTTCAATTAGAACAACACTTAACGTGTGGTCCAGACTCTAATATTTGCGTATCTGCAAAGAAGGAGAATGACTAAGTACTTCTAATGAAAGCTACAGGAAAAGCATCCTTCCTGATGCCTCGCAGCATCACCGTTCTGCACGACACAGGCTCCTTTAAGCTCATCTATACCTACGATAGGGTTTTACCCGAAGACCTGGAGTTCTCTGCTTTTCCCAACCGCCAGCATTAACTGACCCAGGCTTCGGCGAATCCTACTGGAAATGTGATTTCCCAACTGCTATCTTAACAGTGAATTTCTAAACAGAGGCCAAAGTACTTCTCCGAAGTATTAAAATATTTAAACATTCAAAAAAGTGCTCTAAAAAGCCCCAAATCTCTCCCTGAAATACTTATTACCCACACTGCCACAAAATAAATTCTCGGATTCCAATCGAATTTTAGTTTGAAAAAGTAGGAAAGGCACAAATGAAAAAAATTATATAGTATTGACCAACAAGGCGCAGGGGTTCACCGCTATCCGAGGAGAGCGCACTGTCAAGTCTCAGGCTGTCCCAGCTGTTAAACGCTACCTCAACAACCGCGCACACAGTCTGTTCAAAGGTCGCAATTCATTCCTTGCACCTTTGCCCAAGAAAAAACACCAATTCTGGAAAAAGTGAATACGGCATGAATTTTAAAATTCTCGGTTAGCTCTGCACGTTCAGACGACTCATTTACCAGAGCAAAATTAGAAAGCTAAAAGTCGGCTCGACTCCATTGCCAGAATTCTCTAAGTCCTTGGGCAACTCTGCGCAATTCCAGTAAAGACTTGGCAACTCCACTGCAACTCTGCAATTCCGTTAAAAATAAATAAATGAGGGTAAGAGCGCAGGCCCGGCCGGTTGGCCCGCGGCCCGCTCACCGTCGCGGCAGCGGTACTGGCACAGCCCGTCCTCGCCGCCCAGCAGGTCCAGCGCGGCGTTCAGGTACGTGTCGATCTTGTGCACGCCGTTGCGGATGGTCTTCAGCGTGGCTCTCCAGTCGGTGGTCGCGGCCGCCTCCTCGCACCCCACCGCGCGGGCCAGGAGCATCAGCAGCGCGAGCACGAGCGCGGGAGGCGGGGGCCGGGCCATGCGCGCGCGCCCCGTCTGAGCCCCGGCGCCCCGGCGCCCGGCTGCTGCGTCCACGCCTCCTGCTCCCACCGGCCGCCCAGTGCGCCTGCGCAGGGGCGTGGCGTCACGGGTGTGGCGTCACTGGCGCGACGCGGGGCGGGGCCTCAGCCCGTCTGGGCTCCCAGGTGCGCCGACCGGGTCTCACGCGGATGCGGGAGCTGCTGAGGCTACTGCGGCGCAAGTCGTGTGATCGCGCGGGTCCGCGGTGGTAGTGCGCATCTTGGCATCCGGGTTCTTACAAAGCCTCCTAGATGGTCGTACGCGGTGTGATCAAATGTACGGTGGATATTTTCAAAATGGCTAGTGAAAGACACATTGTCATGAACCCCCTCAAAATCCTCCCCCTCTCTTGGAACACACCCATCGACCTTGCCACTCTCTGAAAGAGCCCTGCAAGTCCTCTTTCCTGAGTGTCTTTACGAGGTACGATTTTTAAAAAATACCATAAATGCTGCTGCCATTGCCACCCAAGAGAAAGGCAGGCTCCTAAAATCATGACGCTGTGTCCTCACACGCCTTAGTCACCGAATTTGGCACCGTCCTACTCTAGCTCTTGCCCACAGTAAAAAAATGACAATGAAAGGGAAACATTTGAAATCCATTCACGACACCGAGGCAGCCACGATGGAGCAACTAGAGACACGAAAAAGGATTTGCAGAGCTGCTGCAGATAGTGGCAGGAACCTTGAGATAAATGTGTTCAGAGCAAGGGGGAGCACTTTGAGGGAGACTCATGGCAATGGGTCTCACTGTGATTAATTTGTAAACATTTCAACAGTCGCCATAGTTTTCCAGTACCCCTGTCTCTTGCAGGTTCAGTGGAGACTGAGGCCCATGGCCTGCCTGACCCGGTTCCCCTCTGCCTGCTCGACAGATGAGCTCTGCTGGACGTGGAGACGGAGAGCACAGCCTGACCTTGGGGAGTCTTTGCCGCCTCCTGTCCTTACCCAGACCTTGTGGCCCGAGGTGGCTGCGGTTGGTGGATAGGGAAAATGGAAAATGACGTCCACCAAGGCCACAGTGGTGCCCGAATATTACCAGGGTGACTTAGATGCTTTCTTTGACTTTGTGCAAGAAGAAAAAAAATGATGTGGTGGTGTAAACTACATTTCCATCTCTGGTAAGGAAGACTCAGGCTGCATTTGAATGCAGCAAATAAAACAAAATAAAAACTTGAGGAAATCACCATTTTCCTACACAAGGTTATTTTGTAACTATCAAGTTACAGTGACATCTATTTTTCCCAGGCACTCTGCAGGATCCATAAATAACGACTCCACTACTTTTTATCAGAGCTATAAATATCTAGTTTTCTCCTTATCCCAGCTGTTTCCAAGAATTTTCTAACAGGATCCAGGTTGGGATTTGCGAGCGCTGGGAACTGTTTTGTTTTGTTGCCGTGGTAGGGATGGGCACAGTGAGAAAAGAGACCAGAAGGAAGAGGCTGGGAAGAAAGCTGAGGACAGCAGCCCGGGAAAGAGGTCAGTGCTGTGGGGAGAAGCCGAGGGACTGTGCTTCCGAGGTCTGAGACAGCGAGGCAGACCTCCCAGCCTTAGGCTCACAGCAGATGAAGATGCTTCCCAGCTCCTGGAGGCTGCAAGAGCATCCTGCCCTCACCATATTCCTTAACAACCTGGCACAAGGCCCTACCCTCACCTTCTTTTCTTTATGTCCTCACTTGAGCCTAAAAATACACTCCTGCCCCTTTCACCCTTCCTAGACCGCTGATGTTCCAGAAAACAGACCAAACATGGGAAAAAAACGACACTGAGGAGGTTTAGGAGGCAGTTTATTACACAGGTGGGCTTCTGACTGGGATCTCTCCTAAAGAGCCAGAGCCCCACCCGGCGGGTTTCAGGGCTTTTAAAGGGAAAGTGGGCAGGGAGGTACAAAGGCAGATGTGGTGCATATGATCAGAGGGCTGGGTGACATCATGGGTTGCTCAAAGAGTCTGAACATCTCAAGTTACATTGTAAGGCTATCAGTTATACAAAGCATGAGTTATCCAAAGGAAGAAATGTCCTGTTGCATTTTAAATTACATTGCAAGGCCATCAGTTACACAAAGGCAGTAGAGACAAGGGTTACACAAAGGAAGAAATATTTTGTTATTGGGCCTGCTGGACATGTCCGCTTGGTCTTGGTGGACATCTTGTTATTTAAAATTTTAATTTCCCCCTTCAACGTGAGCCAGGAACATGTGCTGTAATTGCAGCTTAGGGAAAGCAAGGGTAACTCCGGGACTATTATAACATCATTAGTGCTGTGGTTGGGCTTTGTTTGCTATGCTGGTTCCATCAGGGCCCACAGAAAATCAAACACCCTACCGTGGGACATGAGGGTGAAGGCTCTCAGTTGTACCACCATTGACCACTCCCCAAATTCTAGGAAACCAAAAAAAAACAAAAAAAACCAACCACAGAACTCACTGGAGTTGCCACCTCTGGGTCCAGCCTCTGTTCTAGAGGGAGAACTTTCATTACTGACCGGTGCCACCAGCTTGGAACTCTCAAACGCACCTTAACCTCAAACCCAAAGCAGGACGGCCTGCACTGAGTCAGTGAGTTTTCTCATGGGCTCACTCCTGTTTTATAGGCTGTACTTTTCCTTTACTAGATCTCTGCCTTTCTTACTACTTCTCTGTGTTCCTCTTTATTCTTTCAGGCTACAAAAAACCTGGATTATCAGGTCAGGCTGAGACACCTGTCCTTGCAGTAACAGTTTGACCTCCCGAGGTTGGTAGTGTAGTTGTACTATCTATAGAGAAGTTTAGAGAAAGGGTAAAAGAGAACCTGTGAAATGTGAGGGAACAAAGACAGTTTTTTTTAAAAAATGTAATACTGAAACAGAAAAAATGAGCCAAGAGCTGTGAGGTTGTGTTAGTCCAGCGGTGGACATCTCCTCACACTTGTCATGCTACACCACTGCTCTGCTGAGAACGCAGCTCCCCACGATCCTACCCGGCAACAGTAAAAACTACAAAAAGGCAAAGTTTATATAACAAAAGAGAGTTTATTTGGGGAAAAGGTAGAAAAGAAAGAGGTGCTAGAGGGCTTCAGAGCCAAAAGCCCATTAGGTCCTTTCCCTGGCTCCTTTTCTTGGGGTCTTGTGTCTTCCCGACCCCCAGGTGGTGCTCCTTGGTATCTGATCTGTTCCCCGAACTGTCTTTGGTCCCAAGTTTTTCTGCCAACATTACCTCTGACCCTTTGATTTCTCCCCGGACCTTTGTAATGAATAAGTGAAGGAGGGGGTTATTAGGAAGGCAAGTTACTTAATGATTAAGTAAAGGACATGGGTACATGTGTGTATCTGGCGCACTACTGATGTTAAAGTGAAAACACGTATATATGTGTAGGTATATATGTGTATGCATGCATGTGTGTCTTACGTGTGTACACCTAAGTAAGAGTCCTTAGGTGGCTGTCTCTTATCGCCCTTGCATTTTGTCAGGTGATTGAGGGAGCTGGCTGTCCTGGACTTTCATTTTTGGCTTCCTCAGTGTTATCTCCTCTTGATAAATTCTTATGGTGATTGTGCTACCTGGTGCCCCTCTCTGTCTAGTTTTTCTTTCCCTCCTTTGTCTTTCTCATTTCCCTAACTGCAGAGGCTACCTGTATGGCAGAAACTGCTTTTAATGTTTCCCTACTGATCCTAATAAAGCTCACTGAAGCCTTTACCCTATCTGTTCCCTACACTTATTACCCCATGACAGGTGTGATGCCAAGTGTTTTACGTAAGTATGTACTATCATTTTCACACGTTCCATGTTATAGACAGAAAATGAGACACAAAGAAGATAAACTGCCCAGGGTTACACTTATCAGGTGCTGGATTTGGGGGCTGCGCCCAGGCTTCTTATGACGTCAATATCATTCCGCTAGCTAAACCTTTAATGTAGTCAATAAATCACCCCAATATGAAGAGATAAACTAGTCAAATTTTCTGATAAATAAAACATGTAGGCTGAGGATGTAGCTCAGTGGTGTTGAATATCCACCACAGCCCTGGGTTCAAGCCTCAGCAATAAACAAACTGACATGTTTGACCAAAATATTTATTTGAGAATTACACAGCAAAATTTTGATACAGCAAACACTTTGATGAGAACTTTAACAACACTGTTCCTAGTAAAATTTGTTTCATTTTTTTTCTGGAAAGAAAGCAGAGTTTACAGTTTCACTTCAATTAAAGTGAAACTTCTGGTAGAAAGATCACAATTTCAGACATTGTACTGAGAAATAAGAGCCCTTCCCACATGGTAGCTAATCCAGTCAAAATAATTGGCCACTTTGGTGTAAATGCCTGGGAACTCTGGCTGTCCACAGTTTTCACCCCAACTCACAATGCCCCACACGTAAGTCACATTGTTGGCATTCACACAGACAAGGGGGCCCCCAGAGTCCCCTTTACAGGCATCAATGGAACCATCAGCTGTGCCTGAAAAAGAGAAAATCAGACATTTCCTTCTGTTTGTCAAGACTGGTGTATCTTCCTGCCTCCTCCACCAATGGGTTTAATGAATCTGCTTTCTTATACCTTCCTGACAGTGTCTGAATTGTCACCACAATCCTATGAGACAACGCATCACTATTTTGCCCATTTTACAGATGAAATAAGGCACAAAGAGATTAGCTAGTGTGCCCAAGGGCCTGGAGCCTGACCTTGAATCCTAGGCAGACAAACCTCAGAGTTTATCATCTTACGTATGACCTTGGCTTTGGAGAATTTTACAGTATTCAACCCAGTTGCCCACTGCAGTCCTGAGCTCCATTTCAGGATGGGAGTGCACTTTCTTCTCACTCTTCTGATGAAAGTTTCAATCACTGTTGGAACGGTCTGAGTTTTCCCCCAGGGTCCATGTGCTCGGACCAGGTGCCTCAGTGTGGTCAGGTGAAGAGGTGACCCCAGTGGAAGGTCTTGGGCCAGTGGGATTAAACCAGAGCTGTCATGAAAGAAACAAGCCTGGCCCTTCCCCTGTCTCTGGATTCCTGTCCTTTTATGGGATCACTCACTTCCTGACATGCTCCCACATCTACGGTGCCCCTCTGCTCTGAAGTCCTCACTGCAGGTGGGCTGATACCAACACCAAGAGCTTAAATCTCCACAAGTGTGAGCTACCTCTTTTTAAAAAACCTCTTTTTTGAAAAATAAGGACCCAGCCTCAAGTATTTCTTTAAAGTAGCAACAACAAAAACCCACATGGCACTTACCTGCACACACCATTTCTTTCTCATAGAAGCGATTTGGGTAAAACTGAGAACAGTTGCTTAGTAGGTTAACTTCACCCCACCTAAGTGAATAGACTTTTTGGTTACCTAAACAAAGTGAGAAAACAGACATTTAGAAGGCACAAATGAGAAATCTAAACACTTTCATAACTTAGTAAACCATTAGGCACATAAATGAATATACATTTTTACATACACAAATGAACTTTTGAGAACAATTCCCTAGTGCCTTTACTCATACTGTCCTCATATCCTAGGTTCTACAGTTATCTTTCTAAACTTGGGTGGATAGTCAGGGGGATTTTTGGGCATATGGCCTGAAGCCATATTTATATAGTAAAGAGCTGGTGTCTGCAGATAAATGAGATAAAATCTTGCTCCTTTGGCAAGAGAATTAGGTAGGAATCAGTGACAGGATCTTCTCACCTAAACCCCTCCTAAGTTCTTACTGTTCTTTATTTCCTGGAAAGTGTTTGTTAGCATGAAACTTTTTTAAGAAGTTAGAATAAAGAAAATACCCATGGAGGCTGGGCATGGTGGTGCACGCCAGTAATCCCAGCACTTGGGAGACTGAGGCAGGAGGATTGCTACAAGTTTGAGGCCAGCCTGGGCTACAAAGTAAGTTTGAGGCCAGCCTGAACTGCACAGTGAAACCCTGTCTCAAAAATAGAAAAGGAAAAGAAAATACACATGATGTCACCAATATGCATGTGTTATTGTATATCTATGAGAACATTTGTCTCCTAAGGTATCTAAAGTGATTGAAAGGGGATTTTGACTTTGCTTTGTATTTACATGAGAGTTTTGAGACTAGAACATCTTTGATGCATGGAAAGAGAGGGGTCAGGGACTGTTCCCTGCCTGACCAGGAAGAAGAGAAAAACCTAAGGACACAGGGAAAGAAGTTTCAGGGCTGAGGGGTGAATCTTTGCCCTATATCCTCCTCTATTTTCCCAGATCACAGCAAATTCACTCTATAGTCTCTAATTTGGGGGTCAGTTTCCTCATCACCCAAAGCTCCAGGAGGGCAGGGCAGGCCTGATTCACTCTGCACAATCACCCAGATGCCAGAGCCAGGCTAACACGAAGGAGTTGCTTACTGATTCATACATGAACTCACAGTGACTGAATTATGGAGCAAATAGGTATCTGATGCCAGAGAATTTCCCCTCTCTGCACCTTAAATACTCTATAAAGTACCTGGAGATAGGATACCCCAGAGATACTAGACCTGTAGTGAGTACATGGTAGTTTAATATAGAACTACTATAGAAATAAAGAGATAAAACCTATCAAAGTTCACAGGAAATCAGAGTTTCTTCTGTTTTTTTCCTCCTTTAAGACATACTTCAAATTAGTCTCAAGAAGTTTACCTTCCTCAAGAAGGAGCTTTTAAAAATTAGTAATTTATTATTTCCTATAAATCAGGAAAGGGCTTTAAAGTTGTGAACAATTTTACATGGCTGTGAAGATTAACTTCTTCCTCTGGACTCTTGCATCACAAATGTCTTGAGGCGCTTGTCATATTCTGCTAGCTGGTCGTGGCATGAGATCTAATGACCCTTTGATACAGTAAGCTTTTTGAGACTGGCTTTTGTCTTTCAACTATATAACCCGTTCAACCCTTTTTTTGTTGACTGGGTCCATATTTTCATCAGTGAAATCCTGACTTTTTAGTATTAGAATCTTTACACTTAGTGAAAGCTCTGTAAGTGTGCTGAACTATATTTAAATATCCAACTACCAGCTTAGAGGAAATACATGGAACAGAAGAACATGTTAAACACCAGTTCAATGATAGTATCAGCCAAATTCAAGGCTATTAAATAAGAATTCTCCATTTGTTGTATAAATATTTTTTAAAGTAAGCAGAAAGGACAACTGTTGTAGATTAAAATCAACTCAAGGAAAATGGCCACCAAATGCAATGTATGAACTTTGGATCCTGATTCATATAATCTGACTGTAAAATACTTTTATAAATTAATGAGGAACACTTAACATGAATTGGTTATTAAATCATGTTAGGAGTTGCCTCACTTTGGGAGGGTAAGAAGATGGTATTGTGTCCTTATCTGGTGAAGCTGGAGTCCTCATGGGTGAAACTGCATGACATCTGGGATCTGATTTAATATCCTCCAGGAAGGGCCATGGGAGAATAGGTTGAACAGCCCTGGATTATCCTTCAGATCCGGTCCACACCCTTCAGTCCACAGCTCCTGGTGCTGCGAGCCTGACTTAGGAACACCACCTCAGCAAGCGTCACCTGGACTGTGGTTAACAGCAGGCTTCCCAGGAAGAGGGCTCCAGTGAGAAGGAGGGATGGAGAAAGTGTGACAGTGACACTGAGTTCCTTCACAGCCCTTCTGGTCCCCTGACCCCCACCTACATCTTTACAATTCATCCATTTATAAGTAAATCTTCCTAACTATCCATAGAGACCCTGATAAATATTGGGAGATAAAATAAGAAAGGCAAAGAGGGGGAAAATGGAAGAGTGGTGAGTGCCAGCAACTCAGGTTCTCCAGGACAAAATGCCAAGTGTCTGGAAAATAACAGTCCAGAGAGGACCCAAAGTGAGTGCAGGGCACAAGGAAACCGCAAGAGAACTGACAGAGAAGGAGGAAATATGATTCACTGCTAGAGAAAAAATAGCTCACTGCTGAAGACTGGATACTGCACAGTGGGGAAAGAGCACCTGTGTAGCTGACCCATCAAGGAGGCAGCAAAAACTCTTGTGATCAGTTGTTCTCTCTTGTATGACAACACTGTGACTGTCTGGGGTCATAACCATCCCCATAGTCCAATACCAAAGGACTTGGTAATGAGCCAAATATATTACAATTTCTCATCCTTAATAATGTAAGAAGATAGGATCTTGGGACAGATACAAAAACCAAGAGCCAGCAATACCTAGAAGACATCTCTGAGGAATACACATTTCCTAGAGAAGCCTCAACACCAGTGATAAATCTACCTAACATAAGAAAAATAAAGGCAATAACACAGAAAAACAAATTAAAATTAAAAAATAGAAAATGCAACATGAAGAAGCAAAATGCAACCCCACCAGGACAAATCTAGTGGACAATAGTAAAGGAAATCAAAAGATACCCACCTGAATTTTCTGGAATGATAGCAGCAAAAGAAAAAAAAAAAAAAACAGATGTATGAGGCCACAGAGGAAATCAGATCAGAAATAATCACTAGGTTAAAAAAAGAGATGGTGAGCATAATGAAAGACTTGCTCAGCAAATCTAGAGTAGATACAGATAAAAAAAAA